TGTAATTTTCCGTGGCCAAGTCTTAGCGTGCGTTCCTTTGGGTTGATCTGGATCAGGATCAGTGATCCAAGATCACTCGGATCATCCTACATCAAAAGAACCAATGAATCCGTGACCAGAGGGGATTCATCGGTCCCTTTGATGCCCCATGATCTGAGTGATCTTGGATCACTGATCAACCCAAAGGAACGCACCCTTAGAATTTCAAAAACAATTTATGTTAACGGCAAAGAAACAAGCAAACGCGTCAAAAAAATTAAAATTGTTATGTTCTCTAGTCTTGGTCCACAGGGAGCCCATACAATCGGCTTGTCTGTTTGTATGTTCGAAATACAAAGAAATGCCGGAGTTCGACACCAGCTGACACCGATCGAGCTGCGCAGAGTTTGATTTTGACCTTCATAGGGTGATTCTGAATAGCGTAGACGATATTTTCGAGTTCTAAGGACTTGAAACTAAATTGCAAAAACCTTGTTCTTAAGTTAAATAGACAGGCTAAAGATTATCGCACGAGTAAAATGTGGGTTGTTTTAGCCTCAGAGGGGCTCGACACCAGCTGATACCGAGCTGCGCAAACTTTGATTTTGACCTACATAGGCTTGATTCGAAATAACCTAGACCATAATTTCGATTTCTAAGGACTTGAAACTTAACTGCATGGACCCTGTCCTTAACGTAAATCGACAGGGCAACGAATATCGCTCGCGTTTGTTAAGTGCATAGTGAGTCAAACATAGGTCGTTTTAGACTTAGAGGGACTCGACATTAGCGGACACCGACCTGCCCAAACTTTAATTTTGAGCTAAATAGGCTGGATGTCGAAAAGTGTAAACGATATTTTCGAGTTCTAGGGACTTGAAACTAAATTGCAAAGACCTTTTCTGTAACTTAAATGGACAGGCTAAAGATTATTGCACGCGCTGGTTATGAGTATAGTCAATAACGTATTGGTCGTTTTGGACTTAGAGGGGCCCGACACTAGCTGACACCGAGTTGCGGAGACTTTGATTTTGACCAACACAGGATTGATTCAGAGTGGCGTAGACGTCGATATTTTCGAGTTCAAGGGACTTTAAAAACTCTTTAAAAAAACTCAGACAAAACCACTTTAATTGGTAATGTGTATTCGTCCCACTGATGTAAACTGCAAGTGTTCGATCGGTTAAGTTACTGCACATCAGAAATAAGTTCATGCTTATAGGCCAATAAATAAATTGGCCACTGATTACGGCTTCCAAATGAATAAGCTGATTTATAAGCTCAGCTTTATTCCGAAATGCACACAAAGAAAATCAACTAGATATAAGTTCTTAAATTCAGTGTGCGTTTGTCGTACTGAGAGTCATGATCACTCAGGAGGAAGAGGGCGTGGTGAGGGAAATTGAGTGGTACGAAGTGTGTGAATAAGAGAGGGAGTGGGTGGGGTGTAAGAGGGGGGGTGGTCCTTTTGACCAGGGGAACTTGAAGTGCGTCAATAATGGTGGATTCTCTCTAGTCAGTCAAAACTAACTTGTATTTATTTTAGTACAAGCCCACTATATTGACCTTATTATAAATATAAAGCCTCTAAAAAATAAGATAATTCTGTAGTTTTTATCGGGTTGTAATGCTAACCGCACACATCAATTAAGAATCGAAGTTCTTAAGTAAAAATAGATTTAAAAAAATCACACTTGGTTATTTTAAAATATTAAGAGCACTCGTAGAAAACTAAATCTACCGGAGAAGTTCCTGTAATCTCCTTTTCACACCTTAAAGCGAGACCTCGTTATCTCATTATGCTTTGAAATCGGGAATTCATAATAGTAGTGATGACGATGATGATGATACTGCTACTGCTGCTGCTGCTGCTACTGCTGCTGATGATTGTGATGATTGAAAATATTTATACAGGGTAACCACCTCAGTTGTAAAACGGATGTCAATGTGGGCCCTAAAAACTTCCGGATATATACACAAGAAAAAGAAATGTGGTACATTCGTTATAGGACCTAACCCCCATACACTACCTTATATTACCACGATAATTTGGACGAAAAAACTAAGTGTAAGTTTATATAGAACACACAGATTGGTATATTTCAGTACGCCACGAGGATGTGCGTAAATTCATTTTCTCCCTGAAAAAGGAGAGTATCATTTTGGTTTTCGAAATAAGCTAAAATCAGACACTGTTTAACTGGACATTTTAAATGTTTTTTTTTTTCTATTTTCTTTTTTACAATCCTACGGTAAGAACATTTGGTTTAAATGCAGATTTAGACAGAGGATTTAACTCACAAAAATATTACTTCTGCTGCTTATGTTTGCATGCTGCGATCAGTGTGCGCTGCATGCGACAAACTTGTACCGTCTAGATCCGCTTTAACAACACTCGATAAAGTATTCATATCGCCCTACAAAGTGTCTTCCTTATCAATCATGTCATCTTCTTGTATGTAAGCGTGTCTTCGGCTCAGTTGTTGGTCTTGAGTGGTGTAAAGATCTCCAACCTTGTTCCTGTTCATAAATCGTCGGGCAATGCGGTACTTGACAAATAAAACGGCTAGGGCTATGATTGCAATCAGACCAAATCCTCCAGCGGCTGCCACGCCACCAATGAGTGCTCCGGTTTGTTTGTTTTGATCGGTATCTACGATAGCAATTTCAAGAAACAAGCGGTATAACTTGTCACACAAGGTCACATAGATTGTTGTATATTTAGAGTTACTTAGTTAGAACCAGTCTTTAAAGGACTGTGTTATGGCCGGGGGAAAGGGCCCACGGTAAGAGGGGGCTCAACTTTTAATAGACCACATTCGTATTCTCGGTATTGGACTGGAACTAGCTTGCAATGGAGGCTCATGCGGGGGAATATCATTAAAAAGAGATAAATGTTCATTTGCAGTTGATAAGACTCCCCGCATTAGCCTCAGTTGCAAGCTAGTCCCAGTCCATTAATGGCCTATTCGAATAGGCGAGTCTTTAATGACGTCATTGTTTACATTTTTCCTCATTAGTATACGACTCGACTCATAGGAGGCGTGGCCGTATATATGAACTAAATACAAAAGTTGATAAAGCTGATTAAGCTGAGGAATTTGTGCAATTTTCAGCTCTTTGCAAGCAAAATTGAAGGAAATATCAGCCATAAAAAACTGCAAAATTGCTGTGTGGCAAAAAGGTTAATAAGCCATACATTTCTCTGTAAAATTTCGCGTTTTTAGAAGAGAATTTCTCCGAAACCGTTCCGTGTATGGTGCTCAAAGTTTCAGAGGTAACTGAAACTGTTATGCCCTTTCAATATTCAGAGTTTTTCTTTCATTAGCGTCATCAGATAGTGATAACAAATGTTAATGAGGCAAAATGTGTAAATAAAGATCCACCTATAGAATGTGTCCAGTACTAATTATTTGATACATTACGCGTGTAAATTCCCCATATCTACAGCCAGATAGCACTTATTGGTTTACAAACGCCCATATGGCATAAATGGTGTACATTAAATTAATAAGTGACATCAAGGTACTGGAACATTTCCTTTAGCTTTAACGTACCTACTGACATACCCTGTGCAATAAAACACATATTTAACTTACCTCCCGATTGTTGTTCTTCTTTCTTGAACACCAGAGGACCTTGTGTCAAAATGACCTTGTTTGTACTTTCTTCATGCTCTACTTCATCGCGTGTCACATCCCTTTTCTTTCTTTTGTTACCGATTGAGCATCCCTGGCCACACCTGTGTGAATTGTTGGATGCCTGAATTAGTTGCTGCACGCCTAAAAGGGGGCTGAATGAGTACAGGCTACTAGTTTCAGAGACCATCTATATCTGGGTTGGAGACGCGGCGGCCTACAGGTCAACGCGCAGTTAATGAGTGGTCTGAGCTTCCATTGTTCTGACCAGGATCATTGCGTTGTGTTCTAAGACAAGACACTTGACACTCTCCAACCAGAATTTCGTGCTGGGAGTCAATTCGTTGATGGTCTGGTATTTTATCCAGGGGGTATAAAATACTCCTAGTCTCTTCAGAAACCGGAATAAGTTCCGGTGGTAAAACTTTACCATATGTCTTAACTGGAATGAGTCTAACATCTTCCTTCCTATTTAAATTCAACAATTTGAATTGTTTCCTTTTTTTTTTTTTTAGAATTTTAATGACAATTATGTATTATAGTACAAACATTTAAGACACCACGCTGGACAAGATAAGAATTCACAAATGAATACAAATTTAAGTTTCAGTATGTTCCTGTCAAAGCACGTTAGTTTTTTATTTTCTTTTCTAGTGCAATACAGATTTGTACGTATCTATTGTGATCTTTTGTGGTTTTATTTGGCATGATAATGATTTGTCAGTAAAATAATTGTCAACGTTCTCCAATCGTTTCTTTTCCAGTGCAATACAGATGTGTACCTATTGTAATCAGGTGTGGTTTTGTCTACTGTAATAATATAATGATTTGTCAGTGAAATTATAGCTGTAATTAAAACTTAAGTGAAACATACCTGGAAAAGATTCAAACTATTTATTCAAAATTAAGTTGATATGCCGTCGTTTTTTCTCACCTGGAGTTAGGCGAGTATCTATGACAAGCCAGTAACTCGCAGTGGAAGTACACCGTGTCATAGTCGTTGAAGAATCTGAAGGCTTTGATTTTAAATTCTTGGAAGCTTCGTAAAGTATCGTAGCTGTAGTCCATTGTTGTATCTCGTGGACATCTA